CAATGGTTTCTCAGTGCCTCCAGAATAAAATCTAAATTCCTTTCATCGTCCAGCCCAACTAATTCTCCATCTTCACCTCTAGCTACTATCTCTCAATCGCTCTCTCTGTTCGAAGGGCACGTTTAACCTGCCTTATTCTTTCTTGCCTCTCTGCCCTTTTGCACAGTCATATCCAAGCCCTCACTGCCAACCTCCTCTTTATTTCAGTAGCAGACCTGCCCACCATCACAACCTCTGCTCAAACATAGCCTGCTCCAGAGTCTTACCTGAACCACTAAGGTGGCTTGAGTTTCCTGTTTCTATCAGAGTGCTTATTTCCCAGTACTGAAATTGTGGGTTTACTGTTCCATCTTCCTCATCAGACAGTAGATTCCTTGAAAGAAGATGTGTACTTTATTCATCTTGGGGTGGTTAGTAACTAGCATAGTGCCTTGAGTAGAGAAGGTACTCAATACAGATGAATAGATAAATTAATAAGCAGTAGAGGGAACACAGATATATGGGAAATGACCATTCAATAAACTCAGGAAAGGGCACCAATCGTGCTTGACGTATATCAGAATTCAGAACTAACTCAGAATCAATAAGGTACTTTTTCAACACTCGCAGCTGTACCCAGCATGCTATCTTCCTACCCATTCCTTATCTCTAGAATTTTTTAACATTTGCAAAGCACTTTCTGCTTATTCACATACATTATGCCACTTAGTCGTTAATGCCACTACAGCAACCTCAGTGCGTCCAAGTGGTGTAGGAAGAAGAACACTGGTCAGATGATCTGAGCTCCAGCCTCCGTTCTGCCACTGAACCACTGGTGTGTATTAGAGAAACATCCCAACTTGTCTAAACTCAGCTCTCTCTCGAACTTTGCCAACCTTAGTGAAGGGAAGTTGTCATTTTTATACATTGTTGTCCTTATTATCCAAATTGGCATTTGGAGGTGGCTAATTGAGCCAGAGAAATAGACTTTAGGGTAAGACAGGCCTGGTTTTGACTCTGAGCTACATCACATAATAGCTGGGTAATCTCGTGCCAGTTACTTAATCTCTCTGAGTTTAAGCAATCTTGAGTAATCGTTGAGTAATCTCTCTGCCAGCCTTCTCATATACAGAGGTACTAATGCTTAGACGAGAGAGGAGTATAAAAATATTTGTAGATGTTTAAAGTACCACATAAAATTCTTGTTGTTATAATTCTCGTTTGGGCAGGTTGAAGAATGGCATAGAACCATGTTTCTCATAGTGCTTTGTGTGACCCATGATTACAAGAGGATTTAATAGCTGTGCCTTTAAAAACTTACTGACAACTGCACAACAGCTTAGTAAGTAAAGGCTCTGAGAAGTCCTGCTGTGGAGAGATCTGCTCTGAGACGTCCTGCTGTGGAGAGATCTCTCTGTGGAGAGATCTCCCAAGTACCTGAACACGGGACACATGTTAATAGCTCGTGGGGGATCAAGCATGAGAAACACAAGAGAGCTGTTCTTCCACCAGGTGACTCTCACGATAAGATATTCAGAAACAAAACAAAAATGGTAAAAATACTCCCCATTCTACCATCCACGGAGTTATCAGTTACCATGTGCCTATTTGCTAGAAAACAACTAAATATGTAGGTACCTACACATGTACATGTGTAGGAGAAATTCAGGTCAAATTTGAAGAGTAAGTCATAAACTCTGAAGGAAGAAGACGTCCAGATATAATTGATCACGGGTATTATGAAGACTAAAAGCTGATCTGATTGCGCATTTCTGATTCCCACTGGCTGAACTGCACTCTTAGTAACTTCTGGAATCACATGATGTGAACAAGAAAGAAAAAGTACTTCCTCATTCATTCACAGACACAGTTCCTTTAAAGTCACAATTGCTCTTTTCGCATGGTAGCAAAAATTCACTTTATTATTTCAAACGGCTCTTTCCCAGTATCAACTCCTGCAACTTTAAAAGCTGCCATTAATTTTTCCATTAGTAAACATTAATTAAAATGAATATGTACCATTGTTTTCAGCAGTTCCATCTGTAATAAATGTATGAATACAGGCAAATCTTGTCCAAAATGTTTCAAACAGCTATTTCTGAGCAAGCAAACACTTTGATGGTATTTCAAAGGATTTTATCTACAGAGAGCTTTTAGAATCTGACCCTTGCCTAAAATAACTTGAATTCCATGGAAATACAATGAACAGTTACCAACCTAGCTAAAATCTATTTTATTGATCTTAGAAAGTAGCATGTTAAAACATGAGTAATGAACTCTGAGCTTTGAACCATTGATACCTTGGTCTTTCTGCAACACTTGTGTACAATGCATTGAAAAGAAAAGCTTGAAAAACCAGAGGGATGCTCCTAATTAAGGAATCACAGTGGTCAAAGATAATGGTCTAATATAATAATCTGAGATGAACTGCATTTCACCAGTTTATTATCAAAGACGCACCCATCCCCCCAAGTTCCATTCAAATCTTCTACACTCAGAGAAACTGAAACAATTCGGAATGCATCTGAGTGTTAAATTCCATGAACTCTCTGACCCCATTTCAATTTCCTTACGTTAGGCTAAAGTTTTTGGTTTGTTTTTTTTTTGCTTTGTTTTTAACATTATAAGGAGAAAATGAGGCTGAGTCTTAGATCATGCTTCCACCAAGTTACCCCACCATCCTCCAAATATCTTAGCCAGAATCCAAGAACAGTAAGATTAGATAATTCAGATATACATTATTAAATACATTATTCTGAACATGTAAACAAATATTAAAAATATATATGTGTATATATATCTAAAAAAATACTATCTCCTCCCAAATGACCATGTGTTAGCAGAATAAACTTTGAAGACTTTAAGGAAAATATTGTAGAAATGCTTGACGAAAAGGAGCCATGTGTGACCATAGTTTCTCCAAGGGTTGGGCTGGTGAATGCATTTGTCTGACAGCCTGTGGTTTTCCTTCTGCACTGAACCTTACCCATCCCTGCCCCCCACCCCTCCATAGCTTTGCTGTGTGGCCAAATGACCCAGTGGCTATGGTCTCGCTGAGATGTATTTAGGCCCTTTTCTTTTCCTAATTATTTCTCACTTTCCACATTTTATGTCCTGAGATATTAAACATCATTTTTCAATTGGGAAAATGTTTGGTCTAGAAGGTCTAATAAACACAACTAGAATTTGATATCCAATTTTTCATAAAGTATAAATCGGTAAGAAACATAGATAGTTCTTCAGCTAATAGAACTGAGAAGTGTTTGCATTATTTACATAAATCTAGACATTTTAAAGGTAAAAGTGAGTGATTTCCAAATCCCGCATGAAGTTTGCAGAAGTTAACAAATGGAATGTTAAGCTTCATTTACCACATTATCAGATTAAAACTGCTAATCATACGAATCTCACCCCGTAAATAATTTCAGTAATTAAATCAAGCCTTTGAGTTCATCACACTCGAAAAGCACCAAGCTGCAAGCCTTTGCAGTAGTCAACCATGGGAAACAGAGCTATCACACTTAACTGACATTTCAAAACGTCCTTTAAGTCCAAAGCACGGAAGTTTCCAACGTCAGTTGGTCTGACTGCGTATCATATAGCACTTTACCAGAAAGTATCTGCTTGGAAAAAAAGTTTCTCAGTTTGAAAAGTCACTGTCTGTGGCAATGCTCACCCTGCTTTACAAAGCAACGGTCCCGGAAAAGACCGAAAAATAATCACACTTGCTCTTCTCAATGAAAACACTACACTTCACCGTAAAGGACGATTTTAGCTCCGTTCCACAAATTCTCTGAGTTGTAGCAGAGTTAATGACTCGTAATCGTTTTGGTTTTTTAATCACAAAAATAACTACAAATAAAATTGAAAAGGACACTGGCAAAGCAGAGTGTAGTCCCACATCAGTGCACTTGTGAGGAAGTTTCCTCATTTTACTTATACTTACTAAGTTATTTTAAACACCCCCCCCCCCAGAAAAAAAGAAAAACCCAAAAAGCATAGCTCTGGGATGTTAGCATTTAAATGCTTCAACACAAAGAATTCTTGTAGCTGTAAAATATCATTCAAAAAGCTATCAAAAACATATAAAACCTGGAGAAACGCATTCCTGAGCCTGCCACTTCGTTATATTCCTAAATCCAGGCTGTCATGGTTCCAGAGATGATTCCCTCTGCCCAAAGGAACCATATTCCAGTTTGTACTCCAGTTTGTAAGTGGAAGTGATATCTGTGTAAAGACTTGGTAGATCAGGTGACAAGCAGCAAAGCAAGTCAATGAAGATGCCAAGTGTGGTCAAAGTTTACAAGATGCACCACCCTTTTCCAAGGGTTCTTAGTTATCCCAGAAATCAGCTGAGGTGACACTGCAGGATAATCAGAAAGGGCACCACTAGAGTAAGTCTGGGTCCCATAAAGTGTACTTACTGGTATTTGGAGTGGATATAAAAATAGATATAGATATACACAGTCCCCCCAAAAAACAAGTGTGTCCCTACTAAGCTCTTTACTTGAAGCACAGTACTACTCTAGCCGTGAGAATTAAAATGTGGGTACTTTTGAACAGCAATAGCTCCATCTAACTAGAATTAGCAATTTTTCTCAGGGAACAAAAGAAGCCATCCAAACTGCAACACACACCTCAAATTCAACATAATTAAAAAGGACTTTTAGAAGATGTGATAGGAATCCTCTCCTACTCACAGAAACAGGATCACTAAAAATGGGGGGGGAGCGGGAAGGGGGGTGTAGCACATAGAGAAGCTGGTCGAACGGAGTGGGAAGACAAGGGCTGAGCGCTCAAAGCCACTTTGCTGCCTTTCCCTTGCCCCTCACTCCTCTCCCACCCTAGGTTGTGATCACAAATTTAAAACCAAACCAAACCAAACCAAACCAAAACCCGGAAGGAGTGTGACTAGGGTTACTACCACGGCAACCCTCAACGATTTTCTTGTGCAAGAGTAAAGCAGTGGGGACGCAGGAGCGGCAGCAAATCTCCCTCTTCCCCCACCCCCGATACGGTACCTCCAGATCTGCCCGAGCTGCAGGACGTGGATGAGCGACTGCAGGAGCCAGAGGCAGAAGGAGCAGGACGCAGACCTGCGCTGGCCGCTGGCCCGCGTGGCCCCGCTGCTGTTGCCGCCGCTGTTGGTGGCGGCGATGCTGCTCTTGCTGGCGTTGGACGCTTGCCTCTGCGGCGTGGAAGGGCGAGCCTCGCCTTCCGCGGCTGCAGAGCCGCTGCCGGCCGCCGTCTTACAGTCGGCTCCGGGCTGCGGGCAGCTGGCGGCGGCGGCGGCGGCGGCGGCGGCGGCGGCGGCGCTGTCCTCGGTGCTGAAGTCGTGCGCAAACCAGCGGAAGCTGAACACTTGCACGGAGAGCGAGCCGAGCACCACGAAGAAGAGCGTGAGCCCGAACCACCAGCGCTGCCCGCGCAAGTAGTAGTCCACGGCGAGCCAGATGTCCGTGCCCACGTCCGCGAAGTACACGGCCACGGCGACCAGGATCCAGAGGCAGTCCCACAGCGAGTAGCGCCGCTGCTCCGTGCCCAGGCGCAGGCACAGCGCCGCCGAGCCCGCCCCGCCGCCGCCGCCCGGGCCGCTCGAGCCCCCGGAGCCGCCGCTCCCGGCGCAGCAGCAGTAGCAGCGGCAGCAGCAGCGGCAGCGCGAGCAGCCGCCGCCGCCGTCCGGGCAGCAGCCGCCGCCTGCCGCCTCCTCGTCCTCGGCTCCCGACCCCGACGGCAAGCCCGGAGCCAGTCCCTGCACCGAGCCCGAGTGGTCCGAGTTCTGCAGCGGGGTGAACGCCACGTCGCTGCTCTTCTTCATTTTCAGCCTCCCGTCTGACTTAGCGGCCATGATGCCTCCCAAGCGAAGAAGAGCCTTCCTTTATGTGACACCTTTCCCCGCTGTCTCCTCCTCCCGCCGCCGCCTCGCCTCGCCCCGGCTTCCCTCCCTGGCGGCGCGGCTCCCCTGCCGCTGTCCCTGCGCCCGTTCCTGCGCCGGCTCGCCCGCCGCCCGCCGCCCGCCGGGCTGGGCGCTGGGCCGGGCTAGCGGCGCGCCCGGAGCCGGCAGGAGCGCCGCCTGGCTGCCTGCGCGGAGCCAAGCTGCTCGCGGCGCCCGGCGCGCGCCCCGGCCCGCCGCCCGCGCTCCTCGCCGTCCCGGCCCCGCGGCTGCCGCCCGAGCCGCCGCCGCCGCCAGCAGCAGGAGCAGCAGCGGCCGCCGCGGCGCCCCTCGGACCTGCACATCCCTCTCCTCCCCGCGCGCGCGCTCCCTCCTCCCGCTGCCTCTCCTCCACCAGCTGACTCCGAGGGAGAGGATGACCTCATCGCTTCTCTTCCAGCTGCCGCCGCTCCCACCCCAGCTCGGGAGGGGCGAGGGAGGCGGAGGGCCCCGGAGGAGGGGCCGGGACCGGGACGCGCGGCCGAGAGGACTCGGGGAGACGGCCCAGGGCCCCGGCCCACGGGGTTTCAGGGACCGCTGGGTGGACTTGACCGGCCCTGGGGGAGGGGCGCGAGGGGGCAGAGGGGAGGGGGCTCGCGTCCAGCCAGCGCGGAGGTCGAAGGAGGCTGGGGGACCGGCGGGTGTGGCAGCGGCGAGGGCTGGGGAGGCGCAGGGCTCTTTGTGCTCCGTTCCGAGCGGCGGGGACCGGGAGGAGGGCTGGGTGTGCAGCTGCGGCCGGCGAGGGTCGGGAGGCTGGGTTTAACTCGGACGCCGGGGCCCCGAAGGCCGGCAGCGGCAGTGGGTGTGCCTGGCCTGGGAGAGCTGGGGACGGAGAGGGCGGCAGGGCCCGCGAGGGCGCGGAGCGCGTAGCCGGGCGGCGGAGGATGGGCGGGCCCGCAGGGAGCCCCGAGCTCGCGCCCTCGGGGGAGGAAGCGCGCTGCCCGAAGGCTCCGGCTTCTCGCGTAGGCCGGGCGCCCGGGCGCGGGGAGGTGAGGAGGCGGCTCGGCCGCTCTCCGCTGCCCAGGCCCGCGCCGCGGGGCCGGTCCCCCGACGCGCTCTCCGCGGCCAGGAACCGGCCAAGCCCGGAGGAGCGGCGGCGGTGCGGGCCGCTTCCTCCCGCATGTGGAAAGCGCAGCACCCCCGGCGGCGGCTCTGGGCACCGCGGGCGGCGGGGCGGGGCCGGCAGCGGCGGGCCTCGGTGTCCTGGCCCGCGGGCCGGGAGTGGCGGAGCCCGGAGCTGACGCCGCCTCCCGGGCTCCAGACGAGAACTACCTGCTCTTAAAGCTGTAGGAGTTGCAGATTTGTGGAGTCCCGCAACTGCAGAAAGGACTCGAATAAATTAAACCTGTGATCAGAGTGGTTCACCGAATCAGATATAAAGAGAATATGAAACATTTTGCGGATTGAAAAGGTTCTTGAAAACCCCATAGGTATTGGATCCTCTTTTTTTTTTTTCTTGGATAAGAAAACTTTGATTTGTCTCACTTAACTTTCGCAAATGTAAGAGACAAGGAGTGTAATTCTTAAATTGTACTGTGACTCACATGTTTTAAGCCCAGAGGGAAGTGAGGCAACACGTGTTACACTGCCTCGAGGAGCACCAGTGTGGTCTTCTATATCTGGAGGCAAACCCTAACACCCTCCCGCTTACTTGTAGACAGCAGGCTCAGTTAGAACTAGTATGTGTGTCATTCTTAATTAGAAGCATTATGAAGTGGAAGTGCACACATTTCTCTGCATGTAGAAATAGCCGACCCGGACGTCTTGCGCTACAGCTCACCCAGTGTTTCAGCACCAACCTAATCAAAGTGGAATTTGCCCACCCCTGTCCTTTATTCTTACAGACCGGTGCCCTGGACCCAGTCAGGCAGGAGGGGTGTTGGGCCACAGAGCCCATAACCATTACCTGGTATGTACAAACCCACGTACTTCTAGCGCAAGGCATGGCCAAGTGGTGAATGAGGGTCAGTGCAGGGCCACGGGAGCCAGTTAGATTGCCAAGCAAAAGGTGTATTTTAAATCTAACTTTAAAATTGGACCCTCTTACTCAATATTCTGTAGTGGCCTATATGGGAAAAGAATCTAAAAAAGAGTGGATATATGTATAACTGATTCACTTCTCCGTACACCTGAAACTGACACAACATTGTAAATCGACTCTACTCCAAAAAATATGTATATGTATTGGACCGTCTTGAAGTAGGACCATCATTTTCTGGGAAAACACCCCAGTTCTTTTTCCCCAAAGTCCAAATCTAAGATTGCATCTCCAGGGCACTACAGCTGATCGTACTTTGTGCCAAACCACTGGGGAGAGGAATGATCTCTTAGGTAACTGGGTCCTAAGAGATAAGGTGTATTCTAGGTCAAGAGCAATGCCTTACACTGACATGAAAAGGCTGCAGAGGATCTGAGTTTCTGGAGGCCTGGAGCTGCCTGAAGTTTCCCTTTGAGCAAGGATGTTTCTTATTCAATTGTATCCTCTGCATCTAGCACAGTGCCTGCACAGACTATTTGCTCAATAGATATTAGTTGAATGGATGCATGGATGTATAGCGAGAACATTCCACAACAGAAAGAACGCTACATTCTGTACTAATGTTCCCATGGAAACAGGAATTATGAGACTTATCCTGTTAGGTTCTAAAAAAGAAATAACTAGTAATACTCTCCTTATTAGTATATTTATTCAAAACCGTTTAAACTTTTTTTTTTTTTTAAGTTTCTGTCTGAACCATCTCCTGAAGGTTGTGGAAGTTAGTGGGAAGCGTACATGAGTAGGAGGTCGGAGGAGACGGATTCACATCCAGGCCTTGCTACTTATTGGTCCCATGATCTGGGCAAATTGCTTAATAAACAGGATTAATATGAGGATTGGATGAGATAATGCATATTACTGCACTTTGTCTACAATAGTGTTCTTAAAGAGTTTCTAATCCCCTAAGTCTGTTACTCACATCTCGGGATGCAGATTTTAAGATTACCTGCTCTATCACAACCACTGCATCTGTCAAGGCAGACGGACGTATTGGCTAAAAGCTCAGAGTTTAGACTCAGACAGAGGTGTGCTTGGGCATAGTTTTCAACCCCCATGGCCCTCATGTTCATCATTTGGAAAAGAGGAATGATAACAGTCTCTAGCATCCAGTGTTCTTGCCAGGAATAAATAAAATGATGCGTGTAAGCTTTTGGACACTGCGTCCTGCACACTCGATACACAACTTTCCGTTCATATTGTTCATGTTTCTTCCACCCCTTCATGTTTTCTGGGTTAACTTTAAAACTTTATGTTTAGCTAGTCAACTCTCCCTAAAATAAGATTTCCTCAGAGCACAGTTGTTGGACCCCCTGCCTCAGAATCAGATGGTTTTTAATACAGATTCCTGGCCTGTCAGTACTGTGATCGCCTTTCCTTCAGTGATCTTGTCTTCCATCCTATCGAAGAGATCCTTTCCCACTGTCGTCACTTAAACCATGTCATCACTCAAAAGCTTCATAATCTCAAGTTCAAGCATCCCGCTCTCGGACTAATCTCTCATAAGTGATCAGCTCAGTCCCTCAAGTGCCCTTGGACTCGATTCTGCCAGGCTTTCACGTCCCTTAACCCCTTCACACCCTGACCTTTCTCCTGGCCCAGCTTAAATCCCGTGGTCAAGCCCCGTCAGCACTCCCTGGAACACATCCTCATTTCTGTTGTCCCTCTTACTTGACCAAACACCAACGCTGCTTCATCCCTTCTCTCCACCGACTTCAGGCCTGAGCCTGTGCAACTGGCTGTGTCTGGAGAAAGGGCAGCCATGCTGACTGGCTCCCTTGGATGCGTGACCACAGACCCGAAGGGGAGCCTGGGCCTGCTCAGCGGTCCCACCACGTCCTCCCAGTCCAGTTGCTGTCCTACTCTTTTACATTATTATTTCTTTTCTTCTTTTCCCTTCTCAAACTTTTAACACCTCCTTCTGCTTCCTTGCTTTCAGCTGATGACTCGGCTTCCCATCTCACCGAGAAAAATGAAGCAACCACAAGAGAACAGAGCCCACACACGAAGCTCTCAGCACCTCCCCTGCCCACCGACCAGCATCTGTACACATGTGCCCCTCTTCGACAAGGGGACCCCTCCACTTGATTACCAGCTCCCATCCCCTCACTGCTCAGGAGCACAATTCAACACCGATTTCCATGACCATCAATTTCCCCTCTCTGCTGGATTACCCTCAGCCCGTACAAATTAAAACACCAACCGTGGGCTTCCCTGGTGGCTCAGTGCTTGAGAGTCTGCCTGCCGATGCAGGGGACACGGGTTCGTGCCCCGGTCCGGGAAGATCCCACATGCTACGGAGCGGCTGGGCCCATGAGCCGTGGCCGCTGAGTCTGCGCGTCCGGAGCCTGTGCTCCGCAACGGGAGAGGCCACGACAGTGAGAGGCCCACTTACCGCAAAAAAGAAAACAAAAAACCAACCTAACCAAAAAAACTAAAACTGAACCAAAAAAACTTCCTTTTGATTCCAATTCCCTTTCTAGCTACCACTGCATTTCTCTGAAACCTTTTACAACTAACTTCTAGAGTTGCCTAACCTGGCTTTCTTCAATTCCCGTTCACCTGTCCTCTTGAACGCACTTGACTAAACCAACAAGCACTCCACTAAAACTGCTCTCACCAAGTCCGAGGCCATCTCTTTCCACTTTACTAAACATCTCAGCCCTCATCTTATGTGAACCCTTCAGCAGCATTTGACCTAGTTGATCACTCCCTGCTCATTGAAATATGTCCTTCACTTGGCTTTCACTATACCACACACTCCTGTTTTTTTCCCTCTCTCAAAGCCTGCTTCTTGGCTAATTCTGGGCCTTTGCTAATTCTTTCTCATTTCCTCTGTCTTTAAATAGGCTCAGTTCTCAAATCTTCCTCTATGTACCCTTGCTCTCTTGATAATTTCATGAAATCTTATGTTTTAAAATGCCGCCCATATGCTGACGGCTCCCATATTTATTTCTCCAGCCTGGATATGTCCCCTTAACTTGTGGAATACACCCAACTGCTTTCTCAACATCTGTACTTGGATGCCTAAGAGACATCTCAAATTTAAGTAGTCTGAACCTGAACTTCAGCTCTTCCCCCCAAATCTGTTCCTCTTTTCTCTTTTCAGTTAATGACAACTCTGTCCTTTTAGTTTCTCAAGAC